GTATGCCACATACATCCATGCCTCCCAACAGCGGACTGGATAACTTCTCGCTCCAATCTGGAACAATCCGACCGTCTGTCCCCGATATGCTCCCATTGCCGGGTCTCCTCGCAGCGCCAGAGAGTGGATTTGGAGCATTGCCTGCTGGCATGCCCTATGGCCCTGCAGGTATGGCGCTGGTGGGACACACTTTGGCACAAACTCACCAAAACCCCTTTCCAATGGGATGTATGCCTCATCTTGCTGGGAAAACACAAGGATTTCCCTCAGAAGTGGAAAGCCTTCCAATACCTCTTCAAACACACGCAACTGGTCATCCTCATGGCCATCTGGAGGATGAGGTGTTCAGCAGAACGTAAAGAATTCACCTTTGGCTTTAATCAAGCCAAGGCAGGGGTAGTGGAAGTAACCAGGGACAACATTGCCAAAGCCAGTAGGAAGCTAGCAGATGAGGTAGCAGCAAACCCCGGTCACGAGGGGAAGCAGCTGGCCATCTCGGTTTTCAAGGAGCTCTGGCCAGACCCTGATTGCAAGATGAACGACGTGCAGGAAAATGCGAGATTAGTATGGAAGAACTGGGTGGCCCAGGAAAGCAATGGCACCTCACACCAGTGGCATACTTCTTCACGCCTTCACCGGGCCAAAACACGTGCGCACAGGTGAGACCACCCTACACTCAGCCCCTCCACCCCTCCTCCCGATCGCCCCAGCCCCCTCCTCCCTGCTCTAAGCCCCCTTCGACCCCTCCCCCACCACCTGACCCCTTTCCCCTCTCCCAGTCTCCCCTTCTTCCCTGGGCCTCCCCCCCCTTCCTCCCCAACCCCTGGCACCGCCTCCTCCCCTTCCATCGGTCCCCCCACCTATCACCCAGTGCCGCTCTCCCCCTTCCAACAGCCCTTTCACCATTCACCCCTGCACTGCCTCCCTCCCCTCCCTCCTTCCCGCCCCCCTTGACCCCTCCCGCCCCGCAAGTCCCGTTCCCCCTGTCCCCATTGGCCCCCTAGACAATCCACCCCTCTCTCCTGCACCGCTCCCTGCTTTCCTTCTTTTTTTTTTTTTTTTGCATTAACAGGTCCTTATGGTCCTGGCTCCATATCCATTCTGGGGAGCGTAAGTCCAGTTCCTTTCCACCGGCAAGTCGAGAATTGGAATGCATGGTGAACACTCTCACGCTTCCTTCCGTCTGGCCGAAGGAACCCTGACCAGCATTGATTGCTCCTGTTCAGGAGGATTGACTGTCAGCTTGCCCTACCTCTTTTCCTCTCAGAATCTATTGTGAGTCTGTCATATAGTTCGTGTTAAACAAGAAAGGAGGAGAGTTGTCTATATTGCTGAGACTATGGTCTCAATTTTTCCATCACTGGGTCGTCGTCCTTGCTGGAGTTTCGCTGTGCCGTTTCTTCCAGATCAATCTGTTATCTGTCGCTGTTGCGATCTTTCCCTATAGAAGCCAGTCTCTCACGGAAGTACGTCTCTTGGCAGCTAGCCTTTCTAGTCTGGCCGTCGTTGTTGCTGTCACCTCCCTCCACCTGCACTGAATCGCAGTTTCCGCCATACCCAG